ACTTCTAAACAAGGATACAGTACCTTCAGATTTGGGTTTTTCAGGGCAAAACCTCTGTACCAGCCTGTAGAAAAACAAAAAAAGAATAATGTATTTTATAGTAAAATATACAGTTTGCTTTAGTAATTTGTGGGACTCTGTGTGCCGAAATTCTTTTCTAACTGGTCATACACTAGAAATCCTAGTGTAGCCGCAGAAGAACTTTTGGGTTGTTAAGGATGGCAAGTAAATTTTTGGGCACAAAAAGTAGAATGTAGTTATTAATTAGCTGTAAAAGGCTTAAGCATGATTCCAAATCATTCACCAGTACCTATTTTTTTTTTTAAATAATGAAAACAATAAATAAATCCATTCTTTACCAAATACACATTACAATTTTTAACATATTTCAGATTTGTGTACTGGGTCCCCATGGGCCTCCAATGCTCCCTGTGACACGCTTCTACATACAAAGCAGGAAACCTCGACTGTCACCTTTCAGAGGCTGAGAGCTTCAGCTGACTGCTATCAGCCTGTGAATGCTGCCAGAAATGGAGTTACAACGCCAGCAAGTATGTGCAGCATTTTATAGCAAAACGCTACGCAAACAGACTCCAGGAACCACGACCACTTAAAATCACTGAAGTGGTCATGGTGTTTGGATTAACCCTTCAATACACATTTATTTAAACTTCCTGCAGCGAGGGATTCACATTGCTCTTTGCAAGCCTCAGGAAGATGAACTCTGTTGTTATTACCCAATAGGTAAACATGTTTTTAACTTTGCAATCATGAAAATCTGGTCCCAAAAGACCTTACCACTAGCATGGAATGTTCTGTTTATTTACTATTTACCCATGCAAATCTTTAATTCCATTCTGGAATATAAATCTCAAAGAGAACAATGTTATATTGTTTGTCATCAAGGGATTAATACAAACGAGCTTTTTAGATTGACCTAAACAACGATGGACACAAAAAAATATGTCCAAGAAAATCCATAAGACCTGCAGGTACAGTGGGCGAGCCTTGAAGATTACCTTCAAAAACATAACCCATAGGACCTGTAGAACACATACTGCTTAGCTCAACATCAGTTCATTTTTGTCTGGTTTTATCTTTTTCTTGGCAATATAAAATAACTACTGCATGCTTCACAGCTTGTCCACATTAACGTACAACACAAACCCTGCACCCCCTTCCAATCGTCATACAGAATATACTACAGCTACCATTCCTGCCACAGCCTGGGAGGCTTCCACTTCACAGATCAATCTTTTTACTGCCTGCAAAGAAGACTAGCAAATTAACTATCCACAAAGACAGCAGTCAAGTAAAGCCCCTTTGCTGCCAAAAACCTGCAAAGCTCTCCTTTCATCTTTTCAGGCAAATGCTACATATGACAAACCCAGAGGGCAGACATTAACTCTGTGCATGCAGAGACAATGGCGTGCAAATCGCACTGCCTGCAAAAGAGCATCATAGTAAGAGTGCACCGTTTAACCTATATTTATAGGTGGATATCTACAGAACATGGCTATGTATGTGGCATACCTCCCCACTGTCCCTATTTAGGATGAGCAGTCCCTATGTCCCTGATTTATTTTCTATGAGCTCCATATCGTTGGTGTGTCTGAGTATATAACAGACCTCCACACCAAGAATACTCCAAGTAACAGGTCTTTAGATTACAATAAACGTGTTTCGAAACCAACCTGTCTAAATAAGATACATTGTTCTTTTTCTAAATTGAATTTCAGTTGCATAAATTTTTAGCAAATCACTTAAAATTTCCCAAAATAGTCCCAACCCTGATCTATCTCTGCATAATCTGTCTCTACATCTTTCTCTCTACCTTGGAGTTAGCTGTTCCATATAGAAGTTTGAGACATGTGTGGGTACTTACCATCGCATTTTTCTAGAATTTGAACTGTGTCCCCAATCTCCAAGGTTAAACCATGTGGAACTGTCCCCCGAAAGCTGGCAACCACTGGAAAATAAACATAATGAAATATAAGACATTTGTTTTTGCAGAAAAAAAAAACTTTAAATAAAATGTAAAATAAAAAACAAACAAACGTGATGCAGGGAAGATAACTTATTTAAATATTTGATAAATCATTTATTATCCTTGCTCTCTGGTTTATCTTATGATCAAGCATTGCCCTGTTAGAGGGACACAATATAGACCTAAATTAAAGTGTTACTATAAGCACAACAAGGTTTGGCATAAGTGCTAAGTTTATGGTTCAAATACCTTGCACTCAGACTCTCAGAGATTTTCAAACATATTTGCAGCTATAAGGTTACCCCTAATGACAGCACTGCTTCTAATAATCAGCAATTCCTGGTCCATCTCCAAAAACTTAAATAACAACTTTACAAGAATGTTGACTATCAAGTAGCAATTGTGCTTGCTCTCCACTGATACCACTAACCCTAAACACACTTATTATATTGGTAGGATTATTTAGCCACGAAAATCATTAAATAGACATCACCAAACCCTCATCGATCTCAAATAATGGAAAGAGTGAAAGTAATGATTTTTAGGCATATCAAGAAAATCCTTTATAAAGTGCAAGCTATGACAGCAACTCTCCACAATGCTAATCAAACCATACGATCAGCACAACAATGCATTTTGTCACTACACTCTGCACTGTATTGATGTTTATGGAATAAGTGGACTTGGGCATTCATTTTTGTAAGAATCGAAATCAGGACATAAGATGACTCATTTGGTCATTCGGCCAAATTACAATTTTACGAACGCCACATTGGAAGAATGGACCAATGAAGAAATCGTGCTATCAACTTAATTCTTCCATACAATATTCCTTTCTTAGCTCATTCTTGTAAATTCATTACATTGGAGCTCTTATGTAAGATTACCATATTTAAGAGTACCAAATTACAGAGAATTACAGAGCTCGTGTATATTAGATAGCTCTCTACGAATCGACTGATGGCAAAAATTTGTTTAACCCCTTAAGGAACAAACTTCTGGAATAAAAGGGAATCATGACATGTCACACATGTCATGTGTCCTTAAGGGGTTAAGCCAAAACAAAATTTATTTTGAACCGACATTTTCTGTTGTGCACAAGTCGAATAATCTATACAAATCACTTTAGGAGTCAGATGGATTTTAAAATGTACTGTAGCGGATCCACGGCTTTTATGCACAGACCCCTATCATGGGGTCTCGAATACAACACTACAGGGTTTTCTTCCCATGGTCCTTTGTGTCTGACAGATAATTGTGTGAGAAAAACTATAATGCAATTATTTCTCAGGTACAGAAAAACTGATACAAAATATACAGTACCCCAAAAGTACCCCCATCATAACTAGGAACCCCACATATATAGAGCTGGATAGCTCTGATCTAAAGGTACAGTCTGGCCAAGTATCACTTCCGTTTGGTAGAATTGTATTGCACTGAGGTAAAGTTTTTGACCGGCTGGATACGAGGGGATAGCACAAAACTGTTCCAGGGAAATAGGTGCCCTGTCCGGTCTCTGTTCGGGGGTTCCTGTGCGAAAACCATGCAAGGGATTTCGGTGTATGAATGCTCCCCCAGTCGGTAGTTCCCATCTCCCGAACATTGTTCACATATTTGGTCGGGAAATAGAACAAGCAGCAGAATAATCTTTACCAGGGTTCGTGCGAGTGCCTAGCCGAAAAGAGTTCCAGGCACTCAACGACCAACTGCGCTGCCCATGTTTTGGAGACAAAATGGCTGCCACTCTTTTTTCGACCATGTGCATTCGGTTATACGAAATGGGGCCATGCAGTGGAAGCATTCATTAATTACTTTCCTTGCGGTTTCGCAGTTAAGTTACTAGGTGAGAACATTCTAATGGGGTACCAGTGTGGGCCCTCGTTCGGAAGTCCAATGTACAGTGTTCGGATACCATAACTCCCGAACGTATAAAAGGTAAAACATCCAAAATTAGCGGTATGTTCCACCTCATGTACGCAACACAACTATCAATGTCACAAACATCACAGAGTCTAGGTAATTCACTAATAAGGATTACATGCAAGACAGTATGGCTGTAATTACCAAGCAAAATACTGTAAAATGTTACGAGGCAATGTTTATTGGCCATGTCATGTTGAAAAATTGTGTACAATGTTCAAACATTGGAAGATTTTCTGTGTGAGGGGAAGGGAATTCTATTTTTTATTCACAATAACTACTTTCAATGCAACTGCCCCTGTGGCCCCCCACGTTACCCCACTGATTGGCGCTCTGGGAAGATTTTCATGTCTGTCGGCATGGTGCAGTGTACGCTGACAACAGGTGTATTTTATGCAGAAAAAAATGACATTGCCAGCCTGGAACACCACAATTACAAATATCTCAGGATGTGTAATTTTTTCATCAGCCACCAATTGACATTGCATATGCCTGATTTTTGTTCCCTTCCTATGTAGGGAACTTGTTTTGTTTGTGTTCTCTTCAAACAACTATATTGATATAACTCTACCCATCCATCAAGCGATAGATCCCTCTCATGTTTACATCTGGTGAGCACACATTCTTCAAATTTCAGAGCAGTCCCAAACTAATCTTTCATTTGTATTCCTCTTTATTTCTTACAACTGTACTTTATCTGACAGAGTAACAACAGTTCTGCATTCATTCAATCTACACAAAACTATTCAACAGATGGGAAGGAAGCTTGTTATAAATTATTACGTTGGGGCCCAAATATATTTTATTTCAGTCATATTTGACGCGCCATGTTATGCCATTCAGTCAGGCCCGTCGATACCGGGCAGGCAAACCAAGCAATTGCTTGGGGCCCCGAGCTGGCCCGGGGCCCCAAGCAGAGCCGGTGCTAACTATCAGGCCCATCGCTACTGGGCAGGCAAACCAAGCAATTGCTTGGGGCCCCCGAGCTGGCCCGGGGCCCCAAGCAGAGCCGGTGCTTACTATAAGGCTGCAGCCACCTGAGCGCTCTATAGAGAGCCTCAGGCGGCTGCAGCATTCCTCTCTCGTCACCTTCCCTTCCCTGTAGCGTGGCCGAGCTCCTCTTCCTCCTGGCTGTCAGTCCGGCCAGGTACCGCGCGGTACAGGAGATTCAGTTTCCTGTTTCCGGCCGGACTGACAGGAAGTGCACATTGGGTGCTCACTTCCTTTCACTCCGGCCAGGAACAGGAAACTGAATCTCCTGTTACCGCGCAGTACCCGACCGGACTGACAGCCAGGAGGAAGAGGAGCTCGGCCACGCTACAGGGAAGGGGAGGTGAGAACTGAGAACATGGGGGGGAGTAAAAAGAACAAAGGGAGGGAGGGGAGTAAAAAGAACATGGGGGAGTAAAAAAACATAGGGAGGGGAGTAAAACATGGGAGGGGGAGAAAAACATGGATGGGAGTAAAAAATAGGGGGTAGGGGGAGTAAAAACATGGGGAGTAAAAAGAACATAGGGAGGGGAGAGGAGAAGGGCCAGAGAGGGAGTAATAAGGGGGGAGTAAGAAGGACACAGGAGGGGGAGGGAAATAAGAAGGACACAGGGAGAGGGAGGGGAGTAAGAAGGACACAGGGAGGGGGGAGGCGAGTAAGAAGGACACAGGGAGGGGGGAGGAGAGTAAGAAGGACACAGGGAGGGGGTAATAGGGGGTTTAGATAATTTGCACATGTTTGTGAGAACTGAAAAATGTTCATGTGAGTGTGTGTCTGTTAGTGTGTGTGTGTTTTAAGTATGTTGGATTTAGTTATTGTGCACTTTTTTAATGTACATTTGATTTTATGGTACAGTGGTGTTTTTTGCAAATGTTCAGTTGTTGAAAATGTTCAAATTTTATGCACATTATATGCAACAGCAGTATTTGCACTGTAAACATTTTTTATTTATGCACAGTATATGCAACAGCAGTATTTGCACTGTAAACTTTTTTATTTATATAAAGTGTGGGTGAACTTAAACTGTATGGCTATGCTGTGGTTCCTGTAGGCTTTGCGTGAGTGTGTGTGTGTGGGGGAGGGGAGGGTTGTGGGGGGTTGGGGGGGTCTCCATGTCCATTTTGCTTGGGGCCCTCAAATTCAGCCCTGCATTCAGTGAGATGTTAAAATGAGCCAAATCCTTACATAGCTTTGTTGATAATATTCAAAGTCAAATTGCATCAGCATCCCCTTCTTTTACAAAAAAAAAAAAAAAAACAAGTCCGGCGCTCACTCCCATCACTCCTGGGTGGCAGCAACGACCACATCAGCCCCAAATACATACAGTAAAAACCAAAGAAAAAGTTACCTGCACTCTCTCCTAAATCCTATATTTAAACAAATGGAGGTTATTTAGTTACTCCAATGGTTATTGGAGGGAATGCCCGACTGCCACGTGAACCCACTTGAGGGGGTTTGCCTTGACATGGCAGACGGGCATCCCCTTCATTTGCTTGGTCCAATTTCTCTAATTCCAACCTTAAACATTAATCCCTCTAAACTAACTACCCACAACCCCCTTACACTACCTATAATGATACCCCAACCCTAAGTTCCCTCTCTACCTTAAAACATACCTTAGCAGTGTATTTTTATTTTGTCTTCAAGCAGATAAATGTGTTTACTATTCGGTTCAGACAAGTCACAAAGCAGCAATGAGATCCATGTGAAACTTGCAGGAGCCTATTCGGCTTAGAACTATTTCTGAGAACTGAGCAGAATTCAAATGTAGTGTTTAGTGAAGAGTAGTTTTCCTTCAGTAATTTCAGCTATGTTGGGTGTAAATTCTTTATAACTTAAATTATACATAAACAGAAAATGTTGTGTAACATTAAAAGTTTAGACAGTGAGGTTGTTACGGTAAAATCTAGAAATATAAATATATTTTTAACAGCAAGTGCAGAACAAATTCATGAAAAAATATATTTAATAAGTAGCAGATATATCAGGTGATAGATGTTGCGCTTAGAAGTTAATGGTTTGAGCAACTATCATCTTTTTCACCTCTCTATACGGATATACCAATCTAAATCACTTGCCCCTACACAGGGCGCTGTTTAACAGAAAATAAAACGAGTGGCTCTCACGCCTGATGTTGTTATTAGCCCCCATTGAGGTCACATTTTGTCTTTGTAAAAGAGCTCAATTAGACCAGTAGTGGATCCAGGGAAGAGAACTGGGGCAAACGTTTCCCCCCGAGAAATCAGGGGAATGTATGTCTGGCTGGGAAAAGGGGCTAACTTCATGGTCACCCCCACTCCATCTCCAAATTCCTGCATCTAATTTGCAAGTGCCCCCACTGGTTAAAGGTACACTCCAGGAACCAAAACAACTTAAACTAAGCAAGGTTGTTATGGTGACAGCAGGCACACGGACACCCGTTAAACCTTCAGGGGTTTAAACCTTTCTCAAACAGTTTAAATTCCGAAGTTTACTCCAGTTTTGCTCTCAGCACCACCTAGATAGCATCTGGCTTCTGAAATTTCAGTTTCAGGAAGTGTGGAGTGTTGCCGGCAGGGGTGCCGCAGATTGGTTGAGGACAGTCAATCAGTGACTCCCCATTCACAAAACTGGCTTGGAAAGAAGTGCAACTTTATCAAGCCATAACAATTGACACCATAACAACTTCATTTAGATCGAGTCACCAGGTGCATATTTGTAAATTTGTGTATTTGTATTTGTGTGAACTTATTACTCCACCTTTTAAAATATGTTACAAAATCCAGAAGTTCCCCTCTTTAGTTTAGGTCTGCTCTTGAATGTTCCTTTTAGGATCACACAGGGATCACACAGCTATAAGGGATGAAAAACTGAGAAGTTCGAAATAGAGGAATAAATGAAGGCAGATAAAGCATATCAATACAATTTTTAATAAGAATTAAAGAAAAGGCTGCTTATTAAACTCTAACCTACAAATTGCAACACGTATGGGTAGCTGGGGTGCCACTATTCGAAGGGAGTTGCTAGGAATACATACTTTTTAATTTTGTACGTTATTTATTAAGACGCTTGCAGTTCATTAATCTGATTTATGAATTTTACAGAGATTTGTGGTTTTTAAACTGTCAGACAAGTTGTTGTAGCCAGGGGCACAGAGACACTGAATTTCGCTTTTGGTAAAACTTAATTTCAAGGCATGGTGTCAAGAATGGTTGGAAGAAATACGTGCAAGCTCCTTGTTTTGCTCAGCAAACGGCCACGTTAAATATTAAACGGCCACGTTAAATATTCCAATATTTCCAGCGTAACCATATGTTGCTCCCTGAACCCTGGATAGTCCACAACGTGGCCCCAGGCTCCATGCAGACACAGAGGACTTCAGAAAGTACAACCACTGCATCTGGCTGGCAACTGGGAAACAGCGGTTTCTGTTAGAGCTTAATAAAAGCCCTGCAGCATTTATTGATCCCAGGTGTTAAGCGTTAGAATACAGGTGTACACTTTCATTAGAAAAATCCCTCATTTCACCAGAACGGTACGAACACTGAGCTCATAAAGCAGCAGACGAATTATTTTTAAAATTATGTTTTATGCATAGCATATGTCACAAGTCAAGTCTAAAGTTTACACTTTTAAACATGTAGTCCAGTAAGCAGTCTCTTTTCGGAGTTCTTAGGACTAGAAGGTACAAAGAGACTGGAACGTATGTTATATGTGACAAAGTTAGTGACCAATCCCTCAAGGTCAAAGCTTTCCGAGTTTCTGCCAGTCACTCTCCATCACACCTTACTTATCAACCAGTAGTAGAAAAAGAGAACTTTAACCCAGCCTCCACTCCTTCAAAAAATCTTTGAAAACTCACTTCTTCATTAAAGCGTATCAATTAAACTGTCAGCAGGTTTCTCATCACCCACCCCATGATTCCTTTCCTGCAACTGTCAAAAATGACCTACCAAGCACTCAATAAACCCTTCTGTAACAAACTATTTAATTTCCCTACTTTAACCCTTTGTGTCACTATACCCCACTCCCTCTGGCATGTAAGCTCATCAAGCAGGGCCCTCAACCCCTCTGTTCCTGTACGTCCAGTGGTCTGATCTCAATTATGTTTCTGTTAGTCCACCCTTTGTACAGCGCTACGGAATTTGTTGGCGCTATATAAATAATAAAATAATAATAGTAATAATAATAATAATGATTTAGAAAACTGGAATTTAGTCACTTTTAGGTGAGAATAGTGACATATCTGGACAAGAGTGGTATATCTAAGAAAATGATTTTTTTCATCCCTCTGATAGAAATCTGTCCAGACTCCTGTCCTCAAATTTTAACCAGACACTTTGAAACCTTCTCGAAATGATTAGCTTAGGTAATTTCATAGGTATTGAGTAATGGTATCTTTTATGTCTTTACTGGCTTGACTTAGGTCTCTTAGTTTTACCAATGTTTCGCACTTGTAAACAGTAAATATTCTATGGACTGCGGTTTAAAAGGTAAAAAAGGGTCTATTTATCTCTAGTTACTAGTGTGTTTAAATGTAGATATCTTAACATTCACACTGTGATTGATTGATTATTATTATTGATGAGAATGCTATACGAGTGTAATATTAAATATGATCTCATCTTTAACATAATCTTTAAATAAACCTCTTTGTTAATTGTAAGACTGCATAACAGGAACAGGGCCAACCACAACTTCAATATCAGAATACAGAATAGAAACTCATATATATATACTTGGTTAGATTCTCTTAATATTAACTGTTTGATTAACTTGGTTCATTAAAAAGCCTGGCAGAACTTGCTGGCGCTTTATGAATAAAAAAAAAATAATTAAATACTAATAGTTACTTACACTCATATGGCAAACACAATTTTTTTTTTATTAAAAAAAAAAAATGCACACTAAAAAAAAAACCTCCCAAATAGCATATACACTTTAAAAACATTTAGGAACTCGGACGTCAAGACAGTTTAAGTTGGTTTTCATTTAAATCAAGCCCTGATGTATTTTTTAAAAATGCAGCTGTTTTTATTCCGCACTTAGAATTTATCTTACATATCGTTAAATTGCTTATACTGTAACGTTAATCATCGGGTTTAAGCATGCAAACCTAGCTCTGTGAAATGTTCGTAGTGGGCATTGTTGCCAGGCAACATGATACAGTCTACGCCAAAGATAAAAATATGACATAAAAAAAAAAGTGTATTATTGCCCACATTTCTTTAATTCGCCGTTAACTAAAAGCAGCCATTTAAAAAAAAAAAAACATATCTTTATATAAGGCATGAAAGGAGTGTACAATTTTATTTCAATACTGGCAGAAAACTTTAATAGACTTAATAGTTTTAGATAA